CTTCTCCCCAAAGGTAAAGAGAAAAGGAATAAGGGAGAGAGACTTACCAATCAGAAAAGTTAAACAGCTTGAATACTAGCACTAATAGTAATAATGATAATAGAATATGTACAAATAAGTGGAATCCGGTGCACCTCAGCAAGTCTGCAGATGATACCAAATGTATGGTATGGTTGACATGCCTGGACAGAAGGTATGCCATCCTGAGGGACCTTGACAAGTGGGCCCATGCCAACCTCATGAAGTTTCACAAGGCCAAGTGCAAGGTCCTTGGTCCAATCCCAAGCACAAATACAGGGTGGGCAGAATATGGATTGAGAGCAGTCCTGAGGAGAAAGACTCGGGGGCGCTGGTTGATGAAAGGCTCAATGTGAGCCAACAATGTGTGAGTGCAGCCTGGAAAGCCAGCTCCATCCTCAGCTGCATCAAAAGAAGCATGGCCAACTGCTCGAGGGAGGGGATTCTCCCCCTCTACACTGCTCTCATAGTACTTTACAAGGAGTACTGCATTCAGGTCTGGGATCCCCAACACAAGAAGGACCTGGAACTGTTGGAGAGGGTTATGAGGAGGGCTGTGAAGATGATCAGAGGTCTGGAACACCCCTGCTATGAGGACAGGCTGAGGGAGTTGGGGTTGTGCAGCCTGGAGAAGAGAAGGCTCCAGGCAGATCTTATTGCCATCTTCCAGTATTTGAAGGAAGGGGTTTACAAGAAATCTGGAGAGGGACTTTTTACAAGGGCTTGTAGTTATGGGACCTTCAGGTAATGGGTTCAAACTGGAAGAGGGTAGATTTAGATTAGAAATGAGGAAGAAGTTCTTCTCTATGAGGGTGGTGAGACACTGCAACAGATTGCCCATGGAAGTTGTGGATGCTCCGTTACTGGAGGTGTTCAAGACCAGGTTAGATGAAGCCTTGCACAATCTGGTCCAATGGGAATGTTCCTACTCATGCCAGAGGGTTGGAACTGGATGATCTTTAAGGTCCCTTCTAACCCAAACTGTTCTGATTCTGTGATAGTTTTTAGGCAAAACAACACTTCTATCACACACATTTTGCTGTATTATACCATATGAGACAATCTGCACTTCAGTCATAATGTTTCAGCAACATATTAGATCGCATATACATAAGAAAACAAATCTTTCAAATAATATTGTGTTCAGAATGGAGTATCAGCTTCTATAAAATTAAGTGGAGTGGTATCATCTGACAGATCCTATATCTAAGAACCTGATTGTTTGTTTCTAAGTGAATTTCTGTACTAAGTGAAATCAGAAGCAAACATTTCTTTCACAACCACATAATAAATGTGCAACTAATAAATGGCTCTGTGTTATCCTTCTACCAACAGATATACAGACTGCCCAGAACCCATTTCTGTGTTTGTTTCTAACTTTTCTCTACACTGGCGTATTTTTTGCTTGAGCTGGCACTAGTTGATCAGTACTTTTCTACTTCAGCTGTTCAAGCAGCAGCTAGCAGGGCAGCCACAACAAACAATTCTGGCAGCTCCTAATGCATGTCCTTGCCTTTTATTCAGATGCTATTTACACAGCGTTTACATGTAGACCACGTAGCTTTTATAAAGCTCAGAGCTTGGATTTTGAATGGAAAGCTTATTAGGCAGAGGAGTCTCTCAAATTAAATCATAATAAGTAGATACTTAAAATGCTTTGGAAGACAGAATCCACAGAGTATATTTTTATACAGACAGTATTTGTCTAAAGAAAAAGAGAAAAATGGAATAACAAATGCAATCAGTGAGATGTACTAGAGAGAAGTTTTGCTCCGATACCATTTGTCTACAGTAGAAAAAAAATCAAGCCTTTCTTGTCTTAATTTCATCACACAAAGGAAATCGTGAGCACACAAAACAAAACATGACTATAATTTCCTTAGCTAAAACTCCAAGAAACTTAGCTAAATCTCCATATATTGAAAGGCTACAATATATTTCTGCTGTTAGTTTTCATTTCTGTCCCAAGAATTCCAGACAAACCAACTTGGACTTCCATAAAAGCCAGGTAGTTTTCTTTCTGACCCTGATTTTTTTTTATTATTATTATTTTTATTTTTATTTTTTAAACATAGTATGTAGGACTATAGAGCTTCAAATCTGCAA